TACTCTCTTTTTAATAAAAAAGTAATCATTAGAATTTCGTTAAATATACATAAAAAAAATTATTTTAACGAATTGTGAACCTCTTCCTTTTTTTTTGTAGGCGATCAAAAAATATCGTTGTTTTGTTAAGGTGTAGGACACCCTGTATAATAGTCATGTTACTTAACAGAAGCAACCAACATTTTTTATATTATGTCCGTGGCACTCCGTCTACGACCACGATTACAAAAGAATAGATTATTCAAGTAACTAGGTAGGTATTCGTTCCGCATCACAAACAACACCTCTTTTTACTTCTTCTAAAACTACAATTCCTGCGAACTCCGAAGGTATAAATGCTCCTCATTGGTATTTGTAGACGATTTCATTTTATCAGTCTGTTATTATTGTCAATAGAAAGTCGATATCTATTTGTCTTTACTGTTTTAATATCGTGTGCGATTTTTTTTTCAAGTTGCCGTTATTATCGTTAATGTTTAGTTATGTTTCCTATTTGAAATTCTAGTTGAGTAATTTATTTCTGAGTACCTACTATTGTTTATTCAATAATTTACATAAAAATTGCTTAATATTCGATTTTTGTTAATTAAAAAAGTAATTGCAATAAATTACAACTTAACGGTCGTGTGCAACAAGATTCCTTAACAATTGAGTACTAGGTATACCTTGTTAACTACTATCATAAATATAAAGTATGGTGTAAAAGAACGGAATATAAATCGGTATAGTTGTACCTATTAGTCAACTATAAAAGGACCTCGCACACGGTTTCCGTTTGAAGATAAAAATTAAATATTTAACTAACTCAATACAATTCACATGGATTATAACCTAACTGATGAACCTTTTAGGTTATAATAAAGAAAACTCAAAATAAATACGGAGAAAAAATTTAGCCACAATTATATTTGATTTTCACAAATAATTACTTTCTTTTTTATTTAAATTACATAAATACTCTTAAAAAATACGAATTGTTTTTAAATAAATAAGAATGGGGCATGTTTAAAAATTTTGAATTTTTTTTATGAATAATACAGTTCAAAATAAAGCTACATTTAAATTTTTTTATATATTCATTAGCCTGAGTTATTAGTTTTTTTAAATTTATGACGTCACCGGGAATAGACCAATACGAACTAGCCAAACAACGTTGCCGGTTAGATGGTATACGAAAAGTAATATAAGTTCGTTTGTGTGCACCGTCTTTCTTTTAGCCTTCTAAAACATCGTTAAACAAATATATTTTAAGTATGTTTTTAAAAGTATTATTTATCTTTAAACTTTCATCATATTTATAGTTTCATTGTTTTAAAAAACTACAACTAATAAACAAGAAAATTACAATGCGACAGTACTGCATGTGTCATCTGTCAATCAAGAATTTGTTTGTTGTGTCAATTGATAATTATTTAAATTTGATGTTTTTTATAAATATTATGAGTACTAAAAAATGTTTCCTCCCAAGATATGATAATGATTTATATTTTACATTCATTATTAAAAATATTTATTAATGTTGCTAGAAATATGAAAAGAAGAAAATTACCATTATTACACAAAAACGCTTCAAGAGACAGCTAAATTATTTTAAGGTTTGTATAATTTATTAAACTTCAATTATCTACTATTGTAGTAACGATGTTTTTTCTTTTTTTTTAAGATATCAAATGATTTTGAAAACTGCTAAATGATGGATAAACTTTTACATATAAGAAGAAGGTAGTACCACACAAATATCTCTACAGTTCTTGTTATTTACCACACAAGAGCCAGCTCATTGATTCTACCAAAAAAAATTTCTTCTAAAAAGTTGACTGGAAAATAAAATTCTACTAGAGGCGTTTTTCATCTCTATTTAATAAAAATACACCGGATCTTCAAGATCCAGGAACAATTTCTGACATTGTCCTCCTTCCTCCTTCGGAAAATTTAAAATGAGTGTGATTCTCATTGGCCAATCAGCATCTATTTTTGATGGCTTGTCGCTTGTCCATCTTGCGCGTTAATGAGTTCTCGTTCTCGATTGTTTTCAGTTCTTTGCTGGGCTGTTAATAATTGTGCCACGAATATTTAATGAATTTTGCCTTAAAGTGACTTTATTGTTTTGTTTTAAGTGTTAGTGATTTTTCTATAAAATAAAATGCAGAAACAGTTATTACTAACTGATGTAAGTGAGATGAAATATCGTTTCGACGAACGGCTGAATGAATTGTGTTCATCAAAAGGTCAGAATACACAAATTCTCACAAAACCTCAATACTTGGAAATAATAGAAAAGGTTAAAACATCTAAAAGCAAAGTGGTAAATAAAAAACCCGAGGATTATCAGCGTTTGACGTAATGACTATTAGAGAGAAGGAAAAGCTGATAGTTCCTGTAAAGGAAGGTAAAGAACAGATTAGGTTTTACGTACATCGGGTAGAGATATTTCAACATTTACATGATGCACATATTTCTATTGGACACGGTGGTCGAAACCGCATGGAAAAAGAGATCAATTTAAAGTATAAAAACATCACAAGGGAAATGATTGTAATCTATCTAAATTTATGTATGACCTGCGAAAAAAAAAACACAGTGTACCAAGAAAAGGTTTAGTTGTTAGGCCGATACTAAGTAAAAACATGAACTCAAGATGTCAAGTCGATTTAATCGACATGCAGCCGCAAGCTGATGATCAATATAAATTCATACTTGTATACCAAGATCATTTAACTAAATTTGTTCAACTTCGACCTCTTAAAAGCAAAAGAGCAGAAGAAGTAGCTTATGTGCTTTTGGATATTTTCACCATTTTTGGTGCGCCTACTATTTTGCAGAGTGATAATGGCAGCGAATTTGCCAATAGTACTATTAACGAACTATGACCATATGGCCCGAATTAAAGATGGTACATGGGAAGCCCAGACACTCTAAAAGTCAGGGCTCCGTCGAACGCGCGAATCAGGACGTGGAAAATATGCTTTGTTCGTGGCTAGAAGACAATAACAGCAAGAAATGGTCAGAAGGCTTACGTTTGGCTCAACTTATGAAAAACAGAGCTCATCATAGTGGCATAAACTGTAATTCGTTTGAGGCCATATTTGGAACAAAGTTAAAAGTTGGTCTAAAAAGTTTTTTGCCTGAGGACGTTCTGCCTAATATAAATTATGAAGAGGACTTGGAAGCAATAGTAAAAGATCAAAACAATTTAGAGTCTGCAGAAGAAGGTGCACTGCAAAATAAACCAGGGTCAAATTCTTTAGCGGAAGTAGGTCCAAGTCAACAATACGAGGGGGAAATATCTTCTCTTGATAGTTATGTTCAACCACAGATGGAAGAAATATTTTGGCATCTGTCCTCGAAATAACAGATGATACTCTTTATAAATTAGGCACGAAACACGGAATCCTAAACCAACTTTATGCTAGGAACCAATTTACAATATGTAATAAAAAATTTATTCCACGGTCAGAAATTTCACTAAAGGAATGTTCAAGAATGTCATCCAAGATTGGGGGGCCAAGGCTATAGTCGATGCGGCTGTAAAGGGGGCTGTAAATCTGACAAGTGCAAATGTCGTAAAGAAAAAAAGCTTTGTAACTCGAAATGTCACCAAAGTGGAAGCTGTTCTAATAAATAGAAGCTCTAGAATTTAACATTTTGTATGTATAATGTATTTATGCACATACACACCTAATATGTTTTTTCAGTTTGTTACTTAAAAATTTGTTTTTAATGTAATAAATCCTCTTATTTTTGTATGTAGATAAATACGAGTATAAATAAAAATATTCTCAAATTGCCCACTCGACTTCCAGCATTATTCATAATGCCTGGGCAATGTGATTTTTCTATATAATTTATCATTTTGTCCAATCCCTTCGGGCTACTTTTCAAAAATCGATACTTCTATACAAACTTTCACGCCCGTTTCCCCCCCCCCCCCCCTTAAAATGTGAAATTCCAATAACCGTGAAACACGTCATTATTTATTTATTTATTCTCTGTAGCTGTATTTCAAATTTTCATATTTCAATATCACTATGCAAAAAATCATGACTGATACCTTGCTCTGTGAAAAACAAAACTAATCTATCCCACGGAAATAGTACATTTTTCAGGGATAAAAAGTAGCCTATGTGCTATTCCAGACTCTGTGCCAAATTTCATCCAAATCTGTTCAGCCGTTCTGGCGTGATTAAGCAACAAACATCTATCCATCCATCCAACTTTCGAATTAATATGTAGTAGGATATATGTATTATAATTGAAGGAATTTAAATATTTATTGCAGGTAAATATAATTGTAGTAATTTTAAAAATTAAAATTATTATGATAAAAATTTTTATCAGGACACAAATTTCAATTACTTAACCTTATCGTTATGGTCTTTCGAAAACCATAATATTACGGTACAAATCATGCGCTGTCTACAATTTTCGTGTAGAGCGCATGATTTGTATATTAATATGATAGTTTTCGCGTGTTTTAGTACAAACCTGGTATGATAGACAATTAAAATATATTTCAATAGAAGCATCGCATTCGTAGAAAAACTTTAAACTTTTTAAGTCTTATTTAGATAATAGGAAATAAGTAGTTGTTTTTCAATAAAGCTGTGTTTCAAGTAATTTCAATTAATGCCCGTGTGCTTCAAGGACAGATTTTCTTATTTTTATTAATAATCTGTCAGCTAATATTCAAGCCGAAATTATAACATTATTTGCAAACGATACCACTATAATAAATATTAGCGATTTAGTCTCTTTAAGGGACAAAGGCGGGGTTGCATTTGATGATGCAAATCGGTGGTTTCCTCGTAGTGACAAAAAACATAAATTTAAATCCTTGGTTGATTAGTTTACTTTTCTTCCCGTTACATTTAACAGACCACACTTTATCCAGATCCCCATTATTTCACATAAACGTCAGCATTGATGAGTTCGAGCTTTATAAATAAAAGTAACGGTTTGCATGTCTGCGAAAGAAAAATAAATATTTAAAATTAACTTACCCTACTCGTGAGAGTACAATTTTGACAGCTGAGCCCCATGAAGGGCCGCCTCTTCATTAACTGAACCTCAGGGGCGTTTTCTTTAATGTGAAACAGTTGAGCTTCTCTGGCCTGAAAAATAAATAATGAAAATATTTATTCATTGTTCTACGACCATAGGAAAGTAATATACAAGGTGACTATTAAATTGAGTCTTTTTTTAATAGTATAGAATTCCATAAAACAAACAAATTTTATGTCACTTTTTTCATAAACTGAAAACTTACAATAATATAATACATGGAGGTAGAAGATAGGGAGACGCTGTCACGTGATCTATAGTCTATTTTTATGTATGAGAGAGTAATAAAACAGCGTTTCTAATGCAAAACTTAGTACGATCATTTTAAATATTTCCTAAAATTGTAATAAATGTACCTGAGCTATTATAAGTTTTGGGTCTTTTATTGGTCCTTTATAAACATAAGCTATACAGAACAATAGAAAAAGGTTTGGACAGGCCTAAAGCCCTGTGTATTAAAGATTACATAGCCGTATCTTAAGATTATTTTCAATAAGTACCTATTTGCCAATTTTGTTTTATTTTAATTCCAAGAATTTCTTACAGTAATCGAATTATAAGTAGATAAATACCTTCCCAACAAATTTCACCGAAAATGCGATTATAGGTTTTCCATTTAGTAAGGAGGGCCAAGTTGTGTATTCTTGACAGTTTATTAAATGTCGTTTAGTTGCAACTTGCAAGGTGCAGTGTGAATTCTAGTATGATCATGGAAAATTTGGAAGGGCCGCGTAAACGACAAAAAATCGGTCCTTTAACAGTTAATAAAAAAACAATAATATTTAATTGTTTTAAATCATTTACAGACAAACATTTATGTAAAAGTGTTGATGACACAGTGGAATTAGTTAGTAGTACGCTTGGTGTTGGGAAATCTACGATTTACAGAGTTGTTAAAGAAGAGAAATGTGGCGAGTTTCAAACAGCACGTAAAGCTCCAGGAAAACCAAAATTTCAATTAGAAAATCTTTTGAAAGAAAGACTTCGAAAGAAAGTGCATGCGTTCTTCTTTAGAAAAGAATTTCCGACAGTAGACAAAGTTCTTGCCACGGTTCGAGATGATAAGGATTACCCTGAAATGAATCGAAGCACACTATGGAAACTTTTAAAATAGGTTTTCTATGGAAAAAGCATTCCAGAAAGTCTATTTTAATAGAAAGAAGCGATATTGTAGTATGGAGAAGAAATTACCTAAGGACTATAAAAGAAATGAGAAACCAAAGAAGAAATATATTTTATTTAGATGAAATATGGATCAACGAGGGACATAAACCAAATAAATTTTGGCAAGATGAAACTGTTACAAGTTGAAGACAGGCTTTTTTAAATAATTTATCTACTGGTTTAAATCCACCATCAGGAAAGGGGCGCAGACTAATAATAGTACACATCAGTAGTTCAAACGGTTTTGTTAAAGGTGGTTTATTGACTTTTGAATCTACTCGTACCGGTGACTACCATGAGGACATGAATGCTGATGTCTTTAAAGAGTGGTTCGAACAAATTATAGATCTTCTTCCTCAGAACTGTATAATAGTAATGGATAATGCAAGTTATCATTCGAGACTTATAGAAAAAATGTCCACAACCAAGTGGTTAAAAAAAGATTTACAGAATTGGCTAAATTCAAAGAATATTAAGTTCCATCCCGGTTCTGTGAGAAAAGAACTGTATCATTTGTGTTCCCTTCATAAAGAGAAATTCAAAAAATATGAAATTGATGAAATTGCAAAAAATCGTGGGATGACGGTGGTTAGATCACCACCATATCATTGCGAAGTAAACCCGATTGAACTGATATGGGCACAGATAAAGGGAGAAGTTTCAAGAAAAAATTATTCTTTTAATGTTAAACAGTTGTTTTTGGAGGCTGTAAATAATGTGAAGCCTGAAAACTGGGAAAAGGCAGTAAATCATATGATTAAAGAAAAAGAGAAAATGTGGAAGTTGGACAATATTACTGATGAAATGATCGAGCCACTCATTGTAAATATTGGTTGCGACAGTTCATCTTCTGATTTCGATTATGATTTGGATTTGTAGGTAAGAAGTAGTTTTTATATTAAAATTATTATTTATGAACGTAACGTTGTTTAAAAGTCAAGTTTAAACCCTTATACCTACATAACCCGTTTGACATAATGTTCTTAACATACCTTGTGGAAAAATAAAACATTTTAGAAAAAAATTGCACTTTTTTACCTTCAGCTGTTTAGAAGTTATAAGCAGGTTAATTAGGTGAAAATATAAGTGTATACTCGAGGAATAACTTCTAAAATTATTTTAACTTTCTACTAAAAGAAGTGATACGCCTATGGATTACGAACGCTTTATTATTTTAATACTCTCTCATACATAAAAATAGACTATAAGAAGGATTCATGTCCGCCATATTGTGTTTACGAATCGCGAAATAGCTAATAGTAGTTTCAATTATCGGTTTTTTAATTTTTATGTTTTTTGAAAACTAAATATATTATACACATTAAAAATAAAACAATGGTCGCTTGTGCTCAACGTAGTTGTAGCAGCCTAACAGATATGCAGCTAGAATTGTTTATTTGAGAAATATACTCTGACACATTGAAATCTCCTAATACTAGAAGATGATTATCATAGAGAATATTTAGTAATGAAATCGTCTCGAACACAGCCTCATAGTCATCAGCAGAACAAGCTGGCGGTATGTATATGAGTAACATAGGTACACTAATAGTGGAGTTTAATTTTTACAAGAATAAAATTCATTTTGTTTAATGGAATAGAGCTACAAACATGAGATGTATTAATCAAAAGTTGCAGGGTTCGAAGGATATATATCAAGTGATATATATCACGATATATACCATGATATTTATACCTTGATATATATCCGATATATTCGATAATTTTATTTATTAAATTAAAAATGTTTTCCACTATTCTGAACATCCGAAAATGTCTCAATACGCCCCTGTATAAAAGTATAATAACTAGCAATTTATATGTGTTTGTTTTAAAATATTAATCTTAATAAAATAATGTTAAAATCTGTTTATTTTATTAATTATTTTTGTTTTTCTTTTTAATTTGAGTTAGAATAAACGGTTTTGTTGTTTAAAATATAGGTTTTTGTTAATATGTTTGTGTTAAAATTTAAAATATAGTTTATGCAAGAAACAATACTATTTTTTAATTAAATAATTAAATTTTAAAAATGATATATATCCGATATATATCCGATATATATCCGATATATATCCGATATATATCAGATATATATCATGTGATATGATATTTATATAAATATCATGATATTTTCGAACCCTGATAAATTGTAATATGTACCAATTAGCTATTAGTACTTTGTTTTCTTCATCCTCTACTACTCCCTGTACCGTTCCGGCAGATCCTGCCGTGATTGGACAGATGTATACACATTTACCACTAGTCGACTGACGCGCACTGTCTAATCAATGAAATCGCTTATTCTATACCGTTCTTCTGGCATCATTGTATGAAACTTAACATAATGTATAATTGGCACTGCAGCGGGCGTTGTTCTGTAGAAGATATTATATTTATTAAAACAGGATATTGATATCTATTTTGAAAACCAACAAAAATAATTTTTTTCTGATAGAATAAAAAATTATGAAATAAATTATTTTGTTTAAAATAAAACCATTCTAGTTTTCCTCGTATTAGAAAAAATATTAAAAAAAAATTAACTTAATCCTACTAAAGTATTATTATGCATTCAAATGATAATTTAGCTTTTATTTGGACACCAAGTAGACCACGCTTTTTTTATCACGTTAATGCTTTTAATAGTATTATTAGATAACAAGACGAGAGAGCGTTACTAATCTAGTTGAATTTTAAAGTTAAATTAGGTGCAAAATGTTTGGCAAATACAATAAAATTATTTAATTATATTAATAACTGTAAAATATTTTATTAAGAATGTTAGCGTACTATTTTCCGATTGATATATTATTCAGGTTCTTTCAATAGACATAAATATAATCGTAAAGAAAACTATTCATGGTATTTGAATCCCTCGTTGGTTCAATAAAATGAAATGGCCTATGACGATATTACATTAGAATTTTAACATGTAATAATAATATTATCCTATCTTTATTATAGTAAACAGACATAAACCAAAGCATTTCATGCATTCTACTAGTCTTCATTTATACGAGGGCTGCCTTTTAAGTTTTGCATACCGTGCATTAGAGGGCGTTACGAATCAAACGGCTCTAATAAAACTAAACTGTCTCCTTTAGTTAACCTCACTTCCAAGTTTTAGCCCGATTCATGGAGTGTTGTAGTTACATCGAATTTTAAAAGTTGACAAGTTATTCAAGAAATGGATTTAAACCGAGAACATTTTCGTGTCATAATTATTTACAACTTTCGAAGACAATTATCTCAACAAGAATGCCTTGCCGAGTTGGTTTCTGTTTTCGGAAATGATGCACCACATCAATCGACAATTTCTCGTTGGTATGGAGAATTTACACGAGGACGGATTAATCTTAGTGACGAGCCAAGACCAGGTAAATCGGTAGTCACCCAGGAAACCATTGATGCTGTGCGCTGGCTCATCGAACAAGATCGGTATGTGACATATGGGGAGTTTGAAGCATCGTTAGGGATTTTAAAGACCTCAATCCAAAAGATTTTTCATGAAAAATTGGGAGTAAAAAAATTAGTGTCCCGTTGGGTACCGCAATTGTTGAACGAAGAACAAAAAGAAGTTAGGGTAAATTGGTGTCAAAAAACTCTGGAGCGCTTCAACGCTGGAAACTCTAAAAACGTGTACTGCATCGCAAGTGGTGATGAATCATAAATTTACTCATATGAACCTGAAAATAAACGCCAATCGTCTGTTTGGATTTTTCAAGGTGAAGACAAGCCAACAAAAGTGATCCGTTCTCGAAGTGTGTCTAAAAAAATGGTCGCAACATTTGTCTCCGAAGCAGGTCATGTTGCAACAATTCCTCTGCAAGAACAAAGAACTGTTACTGCCGATTGGTATATAATGATTTGTTTGCCAGCAATC